TTAATGAAACAAGGCTAAGTGTTCATTCTGACATATCTATTATTTTCTCACTGAGATATTTTCTATACATAAAATTGCTATCCATCTGGAAGCTTGTATGGGGAAACTTAGTTTCGTTTAGGGAAACATCTTTGGTCAAAACATCAACTGGTCACAGGCTAGATGTCCTAAGTGAGATCACTGTTGCTCTGTACGTATACATGTAACCTGTACCCTACCAGGACATCACACAAGCAATAAACACTCGGTGACACACAGTACCACGATGCGGATGAGGATCACCCGTAGAGAGGTCCCGGAAACCCTATTCAGCCGTAAGGCCATATTACAAGCCTGGCTATACTTATGGTCCCCGACTGAAGCCAGGGTGGGGCTTCAAAATAGCTAAAATATTGCACTCCGAAAGGGGATGAATGCATCAAAATCACTGTCGGTCTGATTTCAAAGAAATGGACCGACGTGCGGGCGTTCTTTGTCACATTTACAAATGTGGAATAAATTAGCCTGGTTTCGGCGTTGGCGGAATTCAACAACATAGCTTCATCTTGTTTCTGACTGCGTATATTATGTGAACAAACAAAAGACTTATTCCTCTTTTTTGTCTTATACTCGTCTTCCTTCTCCTTCTCCTTCTTCTTCTTCTTCTTCTTCTTCTTTTTCTTTTTCTTCTTCGTCTGCCATCTATCCCTTTCCTCTCTACAGAACCACATGCTTTAAAATAATAATTATTATTGTGATTTTTTTCCCCGTATATATTCATTCATAATGCAAATATCTGTGTCACTTGTTTTTACGCAATCAAAATAATATCCAAGTAAGCCAGTTAAACAGTTTAGATCTAATTACTAGAACACGGAGGAAATTTTTGACAGGCCAGCAAATTTTAAATAAATGCGAATGACATCCATTGACACATGCAATGATTGGCTAAACAACCAAAATTTAGTCAAAAATGTCATTTCGGTTACGTGAGTTATGTTTAGGATTGTGCCTACTTCAAAGTGGTGCTGCGCTTGGTGAGGTTTAAACATAAATGGGGAGGAATTAACGAGAGAAAAAAAAACAGCCTTTAAAATGTGCCGGGCCGTTTTCACTCAGTGAAGGGTACTTTTTTTTTGTTCACCCCATCACGGGGACTGCGAGTTTTCTTGGGTATACCCGGGAAAGTCCAAAGATATATGGGTGTTAGGGTGTGAAATGAACGCCGACTAACGCTAACCCTAACCCGCCCCCCCCCCTCCCCGCCCCTAACAGTGGAATTTCCCGGGAACTCCACTCGAAATCTCAGTCCCCGAGAAGGAGTGAACAAAAAGAAAAGTGTCCAGTGAAGCGCTCATATGATGAGCGGCAAAAGTGTGTCATTACTTCAAAATCCCCCCCCCCCCCCCCAGTTCATCATTCAGTTGTCGTCACTATAAAGATAGAGAGCCACCGTGATGTAGCGGCTAGAGGCTCGCCTGCGGATCTGAAGATCGTGGGTTCAGGACCAGGCGGAACGGGGCTTTACTTTTTTTTGTTTTGTTAAATGACTTTGGCTCCCAGGTCGACCTGGCCTTCAGTGGGTACCAGGCAAAAGTCGTGGAAACTAAAGGCGGTCGGCGTGGTGTTGACCCCCATCATCCACTGAGTGCCGATTGGTCTGTACAATTTAGGTCTTACCCTATATGCGCCAACAGCTAAAAGCGTTGAAAAACGATCATTTACTGTAAAAATGGTTGGATGCTATGGAGTGCCGCCGTGTTTGTCCATCGCCTGGTCGTAAACACTAACCTACTGCTGTACCTTCAACTGTATTTGTTATCCTCCCAATTGTATCGCTGTCTACTTTCTGCTCATATGATTTCCTATCTGTTATTCATTTTGGCTTGTATGTCTTGTCTTAATGTTAATGAATTCAAAAGTAGTGAAGACATAAGAGAAATGTATGGGTAGCTACTAGTATCCCTAGGTATAAGAAAAAGAAAATGGCGCTACATCGGACACAACCTGAGAAGAAACCAGCAGAAAATCACCAAACAGGCCTTAAAATGGGAAATAAAGGGATTAAGTAGTCGAGGACCCCAAAGGAAACCCTAAGAAAAACGTTGATGAGAAAGGCCAAGGCTACTGTACTGGATTCCATTCATGATATTGAACTGATGGCACAGGATAAAGCTGAATGGGGAACAGACTGCAAGCCCTTGAGTTGAGCTGAGTTGAGTCAAGAATTAACATCATAGCTCTCGGAGCTTTCCCATATGCGTCCGTCCCTATCTTTAGCAGCCAGCGCACAGTTTCAGTAATAATGGTACCGGCTGTAATCAGGTTATATGTCCGTCTTGCCTTTCCTCTGAGGGTACTGAGCCGGCCGAATTCTCTTGACGCACAGCTACATCATTCTCTTCAGGCCATAATAGTCTAGTTACTCTTCTGCAATGACTTTTATCCTCTCGATTTTAAGCCTTTAACCTTAACAACGTGACACGGCGCGTGAAGAAAAATGTCCTCTGGAAGCAGCTAGGAAAGGAGTATAAGGGGAGCAGCGACTGAAGAAAGGGGCACCTTTTGAAATGGAAACAGCGATTTGAGAAAGTGACCCAGTTTCTAAGGGACCAGCGATTTGAAAAAGGGACCCCTTTTATAAGGGGGCGAGTCATTTGGCAAAAGGAACCCCTTTTGTAAGGGGGTCAGTCATTGGAGAAAGGGGTCCCATTTAAAAAGAAAACCATTGATTAGAATAAGGGACCCCTTTTGTAAGAGACCAGTGATTGGACAAAGGGGCCCCTTTTGTAAGAGACCAGTGATTGGAAAAAGGGACCTCTTTCAAAACAGTGCCTCTAGAATATTTATTGCTAGACCCACATCTTTATAGATTAGTCCGCACTGGATTGGTGAGATGGAAACATCACGACAGCCGCCTTTTCTTCGCACGTCATTTTCTTGTATCCATTATTTGCTAGGTCCACCTGAAACTCAAGATAAATCGTAAACAAAAACGAAATCTGACACCATGCGAATTCAAACCATAACCTTCCCAGCCGAAAGGCAAGAGCCTAGCAGCTGCGACACCCAGTTCCCGAAGGGAACAATACTACGTATTTACAATGATCGGCTCCTTGAACCATCAGCGGCTGCAAGCTGGAACATTTGCTGGGAACAGAACCCGCCATGGACGTGTGCCATTTTTTCGATTCTGTTTTTAAAAAAAAATAGAAAAATCAAATTAAATCAAACCAAATCATAAAAATTGTCAATGTCATTTACAAGGCATTTCGTGAAATTCGACTTTGCGAGTTAAAAATTGCTCTTAAATTATCGTGGAGCTTGACATGACATTTGTATTCACTTCCCTTCCACGTTTTTTGATTTAAAAAAAAAAAATATGTGGCTGAAGTCAGGAATCATGAAACGGGAGAAAGTGATGGCAGCCACTGAAAAAACACACACACACACACACACATTTACTTGGGTTATAAAGAGGCGCTTGCTCTAACTGTGTGTTTATTTTACTGTTTAAATCTTATATATTTTCTTCTCTGTCTATGAGTTTTCTCTTCTAGTCACATAGGAGCAAAGCATGAAGAATCGAGTCAAAGCCATCTTCGAGGTCCAGATATATAGTCGAAAGATTATCTGGTTATCCTCCGAATAACGGTCCCTAATTATGGAGGTCGAAAATATACCTCAACAGGGCCTCAATCATATGTAAATTGCGGACCTCTTTCAGGCGACTAAACAGCAAACCGCGAAAAAAGCTTCCGCCGAGTTAAAGTCACTGCCGAGAGTATCTCCCGCGCCGTGTTTAGCTGACTTAAACTAGATGGCTGGGACTCACGAGCAGCAGCTACCGCATCTCATGCAGCTTCTTTCATTTTATTTGCTCGTGAATCCCAGCCATCTAGTTTAGCCCCCCCCCCCCCCCCCTTTCCGCGCCGCGGTATGCTGTGCAGTCGCCGTAAGAGGTCCGCAATTTAAATGGGACAGAGGCCCTGTTAGGGTATATTTCCGGCCTCGACAATTTGGAACCGTTTTTCGGAGGATAGCCGATTATCTTTATTATAGATCGAACCATTCAGTCCATCAGTGCTCGATCCCACCCCCACCCCCACCACCCCCCCCCCACTTTCATCAGTAAATCCTGCAGCGTGTAACGGTTAACGACACCAGTCATGTGTTGCTTTCTAATTCTTCTTCGGTCTACCGCATACGGCTCTTGTCTGGCCACATCCATTCTAACGTATAATCATTGCATCACTGAGAAAGCATGATTGGTTGAAAGTCTGTATCTCCAGACATGTTACCGCGTTGATCACTGCCATGACCACCATAGTCAGACTACTTGTTGATAGGTCAAGATAGGAGACGTCGTAATCAATGTCACACATGAACATTGCGTGGAGGTACCTGGGGATTTCCCAATATGCGATGAGGTCTGACTGATTTTCTACCCCACCAGGACATCACACAAGCGATAAACACCCGATGACACAAAGTCCCACCATGTGGATGAGGATCACAGTGGAGAGGTCCCAGAAACCGCCTTCAGACAATTGGCCATATTTATGGCCTGCCTATATTGATGCCTCCGGCAAAAGCCAGAGTGGGGCTTCGAATAACAAAAAATTACGTCCTAAAAAGGACGTGAGGATAATTGAGCTTTGAAAACATGCAGTAAGGTGGGTTGGTCGTCTTCTTATTTTACGTTGTTCTGTTTTTTACAACTAAGCTGTGATATCCTCATCTGTCGACCAAAGACAACCAACGTCACTGCCAATTGCTGCCTTTGTATGCCACTTTTGCGGTGTAGGCAGGGGGATCTTTGAGCCTGAGGTTTTAAGGCAGCATGTCTAGTGCTGTCTGTGCAGGTGAGGACTTTATTCTGCATACGTGAGCATCTCTTCCATTGTGGCACAGATGCCCAATGTTTCCTGCACTGATAAACATACTAATAACAGTTATAAGGAATTGACTATTATGTCTCATCTAAACTTCTTTCTTCATGTCCCCAGAATATCGTGAAGCATTCCACATGTTTGATAAAGATGGAGATGGGCGAATCACAGCCAAGGAGTTGGGCACTGTTCTGAGGTCTCTAGGACAAAATCCGACAGAGACCGAACTCCGAGACATGATCAATGAAGTCGACGCCGATGGTTAGTGAATGGTAGATCATATATGTCTAACAATACCGTTGTTTAGTAACTGTTAGAACAAATCTGTCTAACAATACCGGTGTTTAGTAACTGGTAGAACATAACTAACAATACTGATGTTTAGTAACTAGTAAAACATATCTGTCTAACAACACTGGTCTTTAGTGACTGGTAGAACATATCTGTCTAACAAACTGGTGTTTAGTGACTGGTAGAACATATCTGTCTAAAAATACTTGTGTTTAGTAACCGGTAGAACAAATCTGTCTAACAATACTGGTGTTTAGTGACCGGTGGAACATATCTGTCTAACAATATCGGTGTTTAGTAACTGGTAGAACATATCTGTCTAACAATACCGGTGTTTAGTGACCGGTGGAACATATCTGTCTAACAATATCGGTGTTTAGTAACTGGTAGAACATATCTGTCTAACAATACTGGTGTTTAGTGACTGGTAGAACATATCTGTCTAACAATACTGGTGTTTAGTAACTGGTAGAACATATCTGTCTAAAAATACTGGTGTTTAGTAACTGGTAGAACATATCTGTCTAACAATACTGGTGTTTAGTAACTGGTAGAACATATTTGTCTAAAAATACTGGTGTTTAGTGACTGGTAGAACATATCTGTCTAAAAATACTGGTGTTTAGTAACTAGTAGAACATATCTGTCTAACAATACTGGTGTTTAGTAACTGGTAGAACATGTTTGTCTAAAAATACTGGTGTTTAGTGACTGGTAGAACATATCTGTCTAACAATACTGGTGTTTAGTGACTGGTAGAAGATATCTGTCTAACAATACTGGTGTTTAGTAACTGGTAGAACATATCTGTCTAACAATACCGGTGTTTAGTAACTGGTATAACATATCTGTCTCAATATACTGGTGTTTAGTGACTGGTAGAACATATCTGTCTATCAATACCGTTGTTTAGTAATTGGTAGAACATATCTGTCTAACAATGCCGGTGTTTAGTAACTTGTAGAAGATATCTGTCTAACAATACCGGTGTTTAGTAACTGGTAGAACATATCTGTCTAACAATACCGGTGTTTAGTAACTGGTAGAACATATCTGTATAACAATACTGGTGTTTAGTAACTGGTAGAAGATATCTGTCTAACAATGCCGGTGTTTAGTAACTGGTAGAACATATCTGTCTAACAATACCGGTGTTTAGTAACTGGTAGAACATATCTATATATCAATACTGGTGTTTAGTAACTGGTAGAAGATATCTGTCTAAAAATACTGGTGTAGAACATATCTGTCATTGTAACTGGTAGTAGTAGAACATATCTGTCTAACAATGCCGGTGTTTAGTAACTGGTAGAACATATCTGTATAACAATACCGGTGTTTAGTAACTGGTAGAACATATCTGTCTAACAATACTGGTGTTTAGTAACTGGTAGAACATATCTGTCTAACAATACCGGTGTTTAGTAACTGGTAGAACATATCTGTATAACAATACTGGTGTTTAGTAACTGATAGAAGATATCTGTCTAACAATGCCGGTGTTTAGTAACTTGTAGAAGATATCTGTCTAACAATACCGGTGTTTAGTAACTGGTAGAACATATCTGTCTAACAATACCGGTGTTTAGTAACTGGTAGAACATATCTGTGTAACAATATCGGTGTTGAGTATCTTGTAGAAGATGTCTGTCTAACAACAACAGAAATTTTTTTCGTAGATTTCCAGCTCTGCGGTGCTAAGTGGTGCATGCATGTAGTTATATCTTTTATTGGGCAATGTTTCTGATCCATACATCAGTACTGTACTGACTTTAGTTTGGAATAAATTTCCCAAGTCTGAGGAAAAGATCCTATTGACTTTCATATATTAATGCTAATAAAGCAAAGTTACCAGTCTCATTATTATTTCATAATCTCTAAGTGCATTACCTTTCAATTAGGGCCTTTGGAGTAAACGGCACTCCTCCGAACTTCTACCCCCGCATTATGGCGGCCTGAAATATCCGTTCGGGGCTCAGTCCAATGACAAATGTGGACTTTCTGTCAAGGAACAAATCGCGGCAAAACTAGGATTGCTTGACAATTTCAAGAGACGCAACATTGCGGACGATTGTAGCAGACGATAAAAGCGTCCGTTGACAATTTCGAGACATTACAGACGATGAAAGCGATATGGCGAGTAGACCACGCGCTCCCACGCAGATTAGCAATACTGTTCTTCCGATTGAGGATTTAGCAGCGGTAGATGTCAGACTTGCCGGCACGCGCAAAACGCGATTAAACTCACCGCCGAGTGTATCCCAGGCCCCGCTACGCGCGGCGCGGATGGGGGGCTAAACTAGGTGCCTGGGACTCACGAGCAAAGTAATTGGAGGAAGTTGCAGGAGATGCGGTAACTGCTGCTCGTGAGTCCCAGCCATCTAGTTTAACCCCTACGCTACGCGCGGCGCTGGGGATACGGTCGGCAGTGGGGCATAGTCACAGAAACAGGTCCGCAAGTAACATATCGCTGCGACCCTGTTAGAGCATTTGTTTCGTTTTTCCGAGCTGATCCTAAATTTGCCGCGATTTGTTCGTCGGCAGAAAGTCCGACAATGGAAAGTGTCAACGGTCGCTATTATCGTCTGCTACTATTGTCTGCAGTGTTGCGTCTCTTAGAATCTGGAGGTGACAGGTTCAATTCTCGGCACGGTAACTATAGATTTTGATTTTTATGTTGTCTAGTGTGTTTTTCTATCTTTCTACTTCTTTCTGTGAGTGCCGATCAATACACTTTCTGTTACTCGATTAATTCTTAGAAATGTCAGGTAATCAGAAACAATAAGAAACAGGTCTGCAAGTAACATATTGCTGAGACCCTGTTAGAGCATTTGTTTCGTTATACAGAGCCGGCATATTTTTAATAGAACTGAGCTCCTAAAGGATATTTCAGGCCGCCATTATGCGGGGGTAGAAGTTCGGAGGAGAGCCAAGTAAACAATTGTACTAAAAGCCTGTAAATTGTTTTCAAAAAAAGATTCAACCTATATTTAACCAAGAAAAGCTAGTAAAAGTATGAAAAGAACGTCTTTTATCCAAAAGCTTAAAAAACTTGATAGAGACATTGATCAAAACTTGGAGAAGTTTATATAAACTGTTTATATAATTTAAGATTGTATGGAGAAAGTTGCATAAAATGGCAAAAGACAGAGTGGTCTGGCGTTATCTTGCTGAGACCGTATGCTGCAGTGAAGGAATTAGCGGCAGCAGGGGAAGAGAGAAGAACAGTGCATCACAGAGAAAATCCAGTTTGTTTCCCATAGGTTCAAGTCCTATACAAGAAAAAGCCGTCCGTTGACAACAGTTATGATATTAGTAACTGGGCTGTGTGTCCCTTGGGCACCAATTAAAATTGTTTTGACTATTAAGATAACGCCACCCGTCTGGATAGACTGCCTTGAAAGGGATAATGAAGAATGTACTTTTTTATAGGCGCCGGAAACTAGAGGGCTCAGATTTTTTAAACACAGAACCCCTCTCCCCCTTTTCCACCTCCTTTTTTTTTTTTCTTAGAGGACCTGCTCGCTAGGGGCCGCTCCCAGTGTTTTATATTGTGTGTGTCGGCGCGTCTGGTGTGCTGTGTCATTCTTGGAAGATAGACCGAGAGAGTTACCTCTGAAAGCTTTGTGTGTGTGTGTAGAAGTAGACCGTGAGAGTGTGCTGTGTTGTGTGTGTGTGACAGAAGTGTGTTTTACTGTTGCTATTTTCACACACTCACGAAGAGAACTGACTGCTCACATCAGGAGGAAACAATCTACGGTTTAGGCAATGTCAGAAATGACCGAGAGAGAAAGGCTGAAAGTTATGGAGTGAACATCAGAAATACGAGCGGAAAAGGTGAAAGGAGTGAAGAGACAGAAATAGACCGAGAGAGAAAAGGCTGAAAGTTAAAGGAGTGAAGAGACAGAAGTAGACCGAGAGAGAAAAGGCTGAAAGTTATAGGAGTGAAGAGACAGAAGTAGACCGAGAGAGAAAAGGCTGAAAGTTAAAGGAGTGAAGAGACAGAAGTAGACCGAGAGAGAAAAGGCTGAAAGTTAAAGGAGTGAAGAAACAGAAGTAGACCGACATAGAAGATACTGAAAGTTAAAGGAGTGAAGAGACAGAAGTAGACCGACAGAGAAGATGCTGAAAGTTAAAGGAGTGAAGAGACAGAAGTAGACCGACAGAGAAGATGCTGACAGTTACAGGAGTGAAGAGACAGAAGTAGACCGAGAGAGAAAAGGCTGAAAGTTAAAGGAGTGAAGAGACAGAAGTAGACCGAGAGAGAAAAGGCTGAAAGTTATAGGAGTGAAGAGACAGAAGTAGACCGAGAGAGAAAAGGCTGAAAGTTATAGGAGTGAAGAGACAGAAGTAGACCGAGAGAGAAAAGGCTGAAAGTTAAAGGAGTGAAGAGACAGAAGTAGACAGAGAGAGAAAAGGCTGAAAGTTAAAGGAGTGAAGAGACAGAAGTAGACCGACAGAGAAGATGCTGAAAGTTAAAGGAGTGAAGAGGCAGAAGTAGACCGACAGAGAAGATGCTGACAGTTACAGGAGTGAAGAGACAGAAGTAGACCGACAGAGAAGATACTGAAAGTTAAAGGAGTGAAGAGACAGAAGTAGACCGACAGAGAAGATGCTGAAAGTTAAAGGAGTGCAGAGACAGAAGTAGACCGACAGAGACGATGCTGACAGTTAAAGGAGTGAAGAGACAGAAGTAGACCGACAGAGAAAATGTTGAAAGTTAAAGGAGTGAAGAGACAGAAGTAGACCGACAGAGAAGATCCTGAAAGTTAAAGGAGTGAAGAGGCAGAAGTAGACAGAGAGACAAGATGCTGAACAGTTTTACATCATAGCATGGAAGATCTGCTGTGTCAGAAACTACACGAGACAAAACTTTGTGGATATGCATAACTACCGACGCCACACTGCATGGACTTTGAAAACAAGATTTTCAAACACGTGCGCGCGCGCACACACAAACACAGATCACAACAATACTCACTCACAACAGACACACACATATATACACACAAAAGTGACGCACTGGGTTGAAGTAGGTGATGTAAATAAAGGGTACCTTCTTCTGTCAGAGGCGAATTGAGCGTGTAATTTTACACTTAAATGTATGGCAGGTGCTTTATTATCCTACCCCAGATGACGTTACAGAAATTTTAGAGGGTGGTAAGACTAGGTTTCCCGGCATTTCTGATGCTTTTAACGACCACAAAATCATCTAGAACTGGCCCTAACCCCAACCCAGCTACGTCCTACGAGAGAGTGCAGCCTAGGTCCCACGACTGCATGCAGCCTGTCTACCACCCCTTGAAATATTAGACTATCCCGTGACCTGTGAATTTCCCCTCTTTGGGGTAGGATATTACTAAAGAACGTCTGACGTGGTAAACATCACACGGCCAGCTTTACTTCCCAGGACATTACATAGTAATCATTTTAGGTTTGGTCCAACTGGAGGCCATGGTGGATTTTGAAATAAACACAACACTTGCATCTATGTAGATTCGAACCCAAAACCACCGGGCAGACTTGCGAGTGTTTTGCCATTTTGTTCTTTGGCTTTCACGAGGTTAAAGGCGTTAAGACACAGTGTATATGAAACTGATAAAACCGCTAGACCCTCAAGCGAGAAACACAGGTTCAAATCCCCCGTAAAGTTGTGTGTTGTTTTGTTTTTCTGTCGGAAGCAGACATGGAATCCTTATCTGCACAGTCCGTGGCGACAGCACTAGCCTTACGGCCCTTAATCCTCAAGTTCAGAGACTGCCCTGCCTACATCGCATCAGTGGTAGCTACAGGCAGTAATTATTGGTGGTATATGAAACTGGTCAACTTATGCCATGGAAATAGTGTATGTGTCGACCGGGGCGTTAGTTGATTTTCAAATGACACTGCAGATGAGTCGCCTCATAATTGCTCCTTCCCTATGCTCTTGGCAGTGGAAATCTTATAACATTTCCTTCACTATCCCTTTGAAAGGTAGAAGATAAAACCTTGACAGTCCTGGTAAACTATGGAACTTTGCACACGTAAACATGCATAAGCTAGCTGTCAGATATGCCGACACTAAGGGTACCACATCTGAACTGCAGCTCAATGTTGGCGCGCACGGTCAGTGTGACGACTAAGACGGAATTCAGTACGTAGAGTTAATCTTTTCATCCTACTGACATTTTGGGTATATGATGCTACAGGCGAGTTTCAATGGAATACTCAGTCTGGGGTGGGTAATGTAGACAACATCACGCCACCGCTTTCACTTTCCATGACTCTTTCTCGTACCCATTGGAGTCTTCTTGGATCTATCATCTCTATGTCAGTTACACAAATCTGCCTAGATTCGAACCTCCGACATTATGTCCAGCTGACAAGCGTCCAGACACTGTGCTGTCGCTGATTTTTAAAAACTCGTTATCACCCTTAGTTGCTGCATAACTTACTCTGTCTAAACTCTGACTGTACCCATTCTGTCACATAGTATCATTATTTTAACTGCTAAAACCCAGACTGTTACCGAAAGCAACAACTTCTTAGGAGGAATGAGTTAACTAACATCTATCCCCATGTGGGTTCCGAGGTCCTTACTTGGAAGGGGAAGGTGTGAAAACAGACTCACTGCCACTTTCGTAAAGTTTACAGGTTCTGAAAAAGGATGTATTAGGCAACTTTCGCAGCCTAGCTGTAAACTGCCAGGCAATAAACCGCAATGCAGTGTACCAAGCTTCTTTTTCTAAGCGAAGGCAGTAGCAGCAGCATAAGTAGCAGCAGCAGCAGAAAAAGGATAAGAAGACAAACTGGAAGAAGAAGAACAAGAGGAAGAACAAAGAAGAAGAAGAAAGAAGAAGAAAAAAGATGAAGAAGAAGGAAGAAGAAGAAAGAAGAAGGAGAAGAAGAAAGAAGAAGACAAAAGATGAAGAAGAAGAAAGAAGAAGAAGAAGAAAGAAGAAGAAAAAAGATGAAGAAGAAGAAAGAAGAAGAAAAAAAGAAGAAAGAAGAAGAAAAAAGAAGAAGAAGAAGAAGAAGAAAGAAGAAGAAAAAAGAAGAAGAAGAAGAAAGAAGAAGAAAAAAGATGAAGAAGAAGAAAGAAGAAGAAAAAACATGAATGAAATAATTAATGAAAGAATGAATAAATAAATGAATGAAAGTAAAACTTGTTTGTTACACAGTGAGTTTGTTTCACCTTCTCCCTCAGGAAACGGGACTATCGAGTTCAACGAGTTCCTGGCAATGATGTCGCGAAAATCCGAGTCGCACGAGCTGGAAGAGATCACCGATGCCTTCAAGATCTTTGACAAGAACGGCGACGGCTACATCAACGCGGCTGAGCTCCGACAGGTGATGTCCAACCTGGGCGAGAAGCTCAGCGACAAGGAGGTTCAAGACATGATCCGAGAAGCCGATTTGGATGGAGATGGTCGTATTAATTACCAAGGTAAGATTTAAGTCAAGAGTTAGACCTTTTCTATCTTTCCAGTGGATAATCAAGAGTTTGAACTTTTCTGTCTTTCCAGTATATAGCCAAGAGTTAGACCTTTTCTGTCTTTCCAGTATATAGCCAAGAGTTAGACCTTTTCTGTCTTTCCAGTATATAGTCAAGAGTTAGACCTTTTCTATCTTTCCAGTAGATAGTCAAGAGTTAGACCTTTTCTATCTTTCCAGTGGATAGTCAAGAGTTAGACCTTTTCTATCTTTCCAGTAGATAGTCGAGAGTTAAACCTTTTCTGTCTTTCCAGTAGATAGTCAAGAGTTAAAACCTTTCCAGTTTCTAAACCTTTTCTTTCCAGTGGATAGTCAAGAGTTTAACCTTTTCTGTCTTTCCAGTAGATAGTCAAGAGTTAAACCTTTTCTGTCTTTCCAGTAGATAGTCAAGAGTTAAACCTTTTCTGTCTTTCCAGTGGATAGTCAATAATTAAACCTTTTCTATCTTTCCAGTAGATAGTCAAGAGTTTGACCTTTTCTGTCTTTCCAGTAGATAGTCAAGAGTTAAACCTTTTCTGTCTTTCCAGTAGATAGTCAAGAGTTAAACCTTTTCTGTCTTTCCAGTGGATAGTCAATAATTAAACCTTTTCTGTCTTTCCAGGGGATAGTCAAGAGTTAGACCTTTTCTATCTTTCCAGTGGATAGTCAAGAGTTTGACCTTTTCTGTCTTTCCGGTAGATAGTCGAGAGTTTGACCTTTTCTATCTTTCCAGTAGATAGTCAAGAGTTAGACCTTTTCTATCTCTCCAGTAGATAGTCAAGAGTTAGACCTTTTCTATCTTTCCAGTGGATAGTCAAGAGTTTGACCTTTTCTGTCTTTCCAGTAGATAATCAAGAGTTAGACCTTTTCTGTCTTTCCAGTAGAAAGTCGAGAGTTTGACCTTTTCTATCTTTCCGGTAGATAGTCAAGAGTTTGACCTTTTCTGTCTTTCCGGTAGATAGTCAAGAGTTTGACCTTTTCTGTCTTTCCAGTAGATAGTCAAGAGTTAGAACTTTTCGGTCTTTCCAGTGGATAGTCGAGAGTTACACCTTTTCTATCTTTCCAGTAGATAGTCGAGAGTTTGACCTTTTCTATCTTTCCAGTAGATAGTCAAGAGTTAGAACTTTTCTGTCTTTCCAGTAGATAGTCAAGAGTTAGAACTTTTCTGTCTTTCCGGTAGATAGTCAAGAGTTACACCTTTTCTAACTTTCCAGTAGATAGTCAAGAGTTAGAACCTTTTCTATCTTTCCAGTACATAGTCAAGAGTTAGACCTTTTCTAACTTTCCAGTGGATAGTCAAGAGTTAGACCTTTTCATGGTCACAGGAAAAGAGGCAGCCAACCTATTTGCGGACACTTTTGCTTTAGATAACGACATTGAAATCAGTTCAGAGAAAAAACACGAAATTCAAGAAAAGACACAATTTAGAAGTCAGAAAGAAATAACATCAGAGGCGCTAGAGGTGCCAATTACACTTAATGAACTGGAATTGGAAATTTCAAAGCTGAAAATGCGGAAGTCACCAGGAGCAGATGGTATCTCAAACGAAATTATCAGAAACTTAGGAAAAGTAGCCAAAACAAAGCTTTTACAGATATTTAATGCTTGCTGGGCAACAGGGAATGTTCCACAAATCTGGAGAGAGGCAATTATGATACCTCTCATAAAGCCTGGAAAAGACAGTTCTAATGCCTCCAACTACAGACCAATCAGCCTCACAAGTTGTCTCTGTAAAACAATGGAGCGCATCACCAACCTCAGACTACAGTGGTACATTGAAAGTGAAAACATCATTACACCACAGCAGGCGGGCTTTAGAAAGTTCTATTCTACGGAAGACCAGACAACATACCTCTCCCAAGAAATAGAGGATGCTTTTCAAGATAAGAAACTGGTACTCGCGGCATGGATAGAATTAAGGAAAGCTTTTGATAAGGTTTGGAAGGAGGGGCTTTTGAAGAAATTGAGAAACTATAAAATAAATGGAAAAATGTACAATTGGATTAAAGCATATCTACATAACAGAAGAGCCCGGGTACAGGTAGATGGTTTCAAAAGTAAAAAAGTTCTACTGCGACAAGGCGTCCCTCAAGCTGGTGTCCTGTCGCCCACACTTTTCCTTTTATTTATCAACGATCTGGTTGCTGAGATACCAAATGGAATCAAAATGGCAATGTATGCCGACGACCTGGTACTGTGGTGCACCAATGAACATGCAACGATAGCCACAAAAACACTACAGCGGGCTACAAATGCACTTGAGGCATGGGCCAATAGATGGTGTGTCAGTATCAACACAGACAAATGTAGCACCATACTATTCACCCTCTCCCCAAAGCAAAAAGCCGGCACCATCAAAATAAACGAAATACCTCTGAGAGATGATAAAGAGCCCACATACCTAGGATTCACATTTGATGACAGGTTGACATGGAGAAAACATATCAACAAGGCAGCAACCAAAGCCAGGAGGAAGACAGCAATACTAAGAAAACTAAGTGGAACCACATGGGGAGCAGATGGGAAAATACTCAATAAAGTATACAAGCAGAGCTTACTTCCACACTTGGAATATGGGTCAACTGCATCTAGTACCACATTAAAGGAGTTAGACAAAGTGCAAAATCAAGCGCTCAGAGTCATCACAGGAGGGATGAAATCAACCCCCATATTAGAAATGGAGAAAGCTGGGAAAACACAGGCACTGAGAGAACGCAGAGATACAAAGTTGCAAATACAAGCTGAAAAGTTCCTCAGTATGCCAGATCACCCGATGGAAAATAGATTTAAGAACCTAGCCTTGGGACGGTTAAAAAGAAGCAGCTTTATACACCAAGCAAAAAGAATATGTAGACAAACTCCTGACCTTCCAGAAATTGGCTGCCCACTTAAAAGTATTCCGGAACAAACCCCATGGAGAGAAAAATGTAAACTAACGGTACAAATCCAGACAAATGTGAAAGGGATATTTGACAAGAAAGAGCAAGATAGTGTACAACGCAAAATGGCCACCCTCAGTTATATTGATGAAGAATACCCACAAGAACAATGGGTCAGAGTCTATACAGATGGGTCCGCAGAAAGTGCAGTTAGAAATGGTGGTGCTGGAGTGCACATCGAATTCCCAGATGGTACTAGGGATAAGTCCAGCGTACCAACCGGGAAGTACTGCCATAACTACGATGCAAAAACCCAGGCTATTAAGATAGCTACAGAGAAACTGCTAAATACCAATCTTGGCTCACAATATGTGGTAATGCTTACAGATGCTAAATCAGTACTTGAAGCACTCCAGTCTAGGAAACTACCAGAATTGCAAACACTGCTGACACAACTCAGCGTTCAGCGAAAAGTCGTAATGCAGTGGATACCGTCTCATTGTGGAGTGCCTGGAAATGAGAAAGCTGATCAACTGGCAGGGGAAGGTGCGACAAAAGAGCAGCCAGATGTACCAGTCACATACCACCAAAAGAAAAGAATCATTAAATCGATCAGGAAACCACCAGCCCCAGCACAAGACGACTATTTTATTATGGACAGACCAGAACAAGTCATTATCTTCCGCCTCAGAACAGGGCACAACCGATTACGTAACCACATGTATACAAAATTCAAGATAGGTGTATCAGCCATGTGCACCTGTGGAAATGTGCCCCAGACCGCAGAGCATGTACTCCAGGACTGCACCGATTTTGACACATTAAGGCAAACCTTTTGGCCAGAAAGGACAACAGTGGAACGTAAACTCTATGGACCACTGAATGAACTAACAACGACAGTGAAATTTATACAAGAGACAAAACTGCTGATATAGATAACTTATTTCAGGCGAACGAAAGAAGAAGAAGAAGACCTTCTCTATCTTTCCAGTGGATAGTCGAGAGTTAGACCTTTTCTGTCTTTCCAGTGGATAGTCAAGACTTAGACCTTTTCTGTCTTTCCAGTGGATAGTCAAGACTTAGACCTTTTCTATCTTTCCAGTGGATAGTCAAGAGTTAGAACTTTTCTGTCATTCCGGTAGATAGTCAAGAGTTACACCTTTTCTATCTTTCCAGTACATAGTGAAGAGATAGACACTTTTCTGTCTTTCCAGTAGATAGTCAAGTGTTAGAACTTCTCTGTCTTTCCAGTAGATAGTCAAGAGTTAGAACTTTTCTTTCTTTCCAGTAGATAGTCAAGAGATAGACACTTTTCTGTCTTTCTAGGAGATAGTCAAGTGTTAGAACTTTTCTGTCTTTCCAGTGGATAGTCAAGAGATAGACACTTTTCTGTCTTTCCAGTAGATAGTCAAGTGTTAGAACTTTTCTGTCTTTCCAGTAGATAGTGAAGAGATAGACACTTTTCTGTCTTTCCAGTAGATAGTCAAGTGTTAGAACTTTTCTGTCTTTCCAGTAGATAGTCAAGAGTTAGAACTTTTCTTTCTTTCCAGGAGATAGTCAAGAGTTAGAACTTTTCTGTCTTTCCAGTCATCATCATCATGTAGCAGGTCCTTTGCAGAACGTCGCTCTCATCACAGTCTGCCTGTAAGAAACTCGGTCTCTTGCCAGTTCTCCCGCCTCAAGGAATCACTTATATCCTGTGCCCATCTTTGTGTCGGTCGGCCCCTGCCTCTCTTTCCTGGTACCATGCTTTCTGCTATAACTTTTTCAAATCCGTCGTGGCGCTTAATAAGACCAAAATATTTCAGCTTTCGAGAAAGGATGCTGTTTATTAGCCAATCTTCCTTGATGTTCAGGTCTTTTAAGATGTCAATATTTCTCATCTTCTTTGTCCAAGATATTCTGAGAATCTTTCTATAGCATTTCAGCTCAAAAGCCCCTATTCTCTTTCTTAAGGACTGAGAGATAGTCCACGACTCACATCCATATGTAGCCACTTCACCGGCTTCAAACTCCAGCGGAAAGTTGTTCTTGTTTATCTTGAGCTTTTAGAATATAGTCCTGTTCCAAAACCTGAGTGTTGCATGCACATCCGTTTCACAGGTCTGAATTATATGTATGCTGGTTGTTTGTTCTTTGCTTCTCATTTAGATACACTCCGACTTCGAATAAAGCTCCCTGTTAGCTGACTCCAGCGACAGGCTGTATAGTAGCCCACCACCCCATCATCTCCCACAATGGGGCCACGGAATGTCCCCACACGGAGACAGATGATAGTTTAATAGTGTGCTGTGAGAAGTCATGGCGATGGCAAGTGTCTTCTTCTTCTTCTTCTTCTTCTTCTTCTTCTTCTTCTTCTTCTTCTTCTTCTTCTTCTTCTTCTTCTTCTTCTTCTTCTTCTTCTTCTTCTTCTTCTTCTTCTTCTTCTTCTTCTTCTTCTTCTTCTTCTTCTTCTTCTTCTTCTTCTTCTTCTTCTTCTTCTTTTTCTACTTCTCCTTCTCCTCCTTCTTCTTCTTCTTCTTCTTCTTCTTCTTCTTCTTCTTCTTCTTCTTCTTCTTCTTCTTCTTCTTCTTCTTCTTCTTCTTCTTCTTCTTCTTCTTCTTCTTCTTCTTCTTCTTCTTCTTCTTCTTCTTCTTCTTCTTCTTCTTCTTCTTCTTCTTCTATTTCTTCTTCTTCTTCTCTTCTTCTTCTTCTTCTTCTTCTTCTTCTTCTTCTTCTTCTTCTTCTTCTTCTTCTTCTTCTTCTTCTTCTTCTTCTTCTTCTTCTTCTATTTCTTCTTCTACTTCTTCTTCTTCGCGTTCACCGACTGCAAACTCCGATGGAAAGTTCTGTGATTAGCAAATTCCGGCGAAAATTCCCCAGCCAACTCACCATTTTACACATTTCCTAGGCAAATAATTTGGTGTAAAATGTAGGGGAGAGGAAGCTGGCTCCTAGGTTCCGGCGCCTATAGAATTACAGTAGTAAGCTTTACTTTTATTATTTGAAAGAAAAAAAAAAGCTTCGACTTATGATAAACACATGACCGATTAAAAAAATGCATATTGTCTTAATAGTACAATTTGAACGACCACTAATATAAGGACACACTTATATGATGCGTGTTCTAGAGCCGGCAAACCAGACTATCTCTATATCAGCACAGACAATGATTGTGAAAATAACCATATTAGACACGTGCGATTTCTGTTTTCTTTCTTTTCCATTTAGCCTGACTGTGCCACAGCAACTCAAAAATTATAAATGGAAATAACAATTTGGGGGGTGGGGGGTGTTCTAGAGTTCACATGCACTTATTGTTTTTGTCAAATGGAAATTTTAAACTTTTAAATTTGTATGTTCACTAACTGTTGCTAACGTTTTTCCTCAGAATTTATTCGAATGATGACATCAGACAAGCATTTGGCATCGCTGCACTCGCGCCACTCTCATCATTAGTACAGCTCTCTTCATAAGCGACACATTACGAACTATAAAGGGAAACTACAACAGGACATTTTTAATATATTATTTTACTTAATTATATCCCTTGAATAATTTTTTTTTTTTTTTTAATGAATGTATTTTGTTCTGAATTTATTGCCATTGCCACTGTAATAAACTTTCATTCGCAAATGTTTTTTTTTTTTTAATGTTTGATATGTAGTTTGTATGATATATATTACTTACCTCATTGATGTATGACAAGTTAGATCTTGTGAGGGCCCTTTGGAAACGGGTGAACAGTGTGGAGGTGTAGATGGATCATTACGGTCTAAGGAGAAAGGGGCTGCGAATTACTGCTTTTCGTCCTTCTTAGGACGTTATTTTTTGTTATTTGAAGCCCCACTCTGGCTTTTGCCAGGGGCCGCAATATAGGCAGGTCATCATTATGGCCAAATGTCTGAACGCGGTTTCTGGGACCTCTCCACGGTGATCCTCATCCGCATGGTGGCACTTTGTGTCATCGGGTGTTTATCGCTTGTGTGATGTCCTGGTGGGGTAAAAAATCCAATCCAATCCAAAGGGGCTGCGAGGATTTACCAGGGGATCTGGCCGACGCTCAACACTCAGGGGAAGGATGAGGCGGATACACATCATCATCATCAGGTGCCTTGCCGACTTGCGCGGGCGATCATGCCTCCCCATAATCCACGATCTCCTACAGCATGTATCAATCAGACGGTTACTGGCACCATCGGAGTTGGAACTCATCGCTTGCTGCAGAAGATGGAGACTGAGTACTTATGGGAGTGTCCCGAGTGCTGTGATGCCGATTCCTAATTCCACATTCAGGTCTTCAGATCGAAGAAACAGAAACAAGGTCACAGATTGGGATTTGCTCTGCTCTAATCCGACGTCCTAATACGGGACGCAATTTGTCGTTATTTAAAAGCCCCATCCCGGATGTAGTCAGGGGCCCTAATTTAACCTAACGATTTAACAGGGTTTCTGGGATCTCTCCCTTGGTGATCCTCATCTGCATGGTGACACTTTGTGTCAACGAGTATTTATCGCTTTGGGATTCTCCTGGTGGTGTTGAATCTCATTCATCCATTCCGCTCCACCATAATACTTTTAAGGTCCTACTCACGCTTCCCGACCCATCTACACACTTTCTTAGTCTGGTCTAGATCAGAGGGGTGTTACGTTGTACTATTATCTTCGAAAAGAGCCCCTTGTTGGACCTAGACTCAGACTGTGGGTAGAAGGGTTTGGGTTAGGACCTGTTCTAGATGTCCTGGGGTTGTAGAACACGCGACATCGGCGCTGATGCAACTGGGGGAAGACACTGTGACACCCCTCTGACGTAGAACAGTATGATAAAGCATAAATGAAAGGTCAGTCAATGTGTAGATGGGCCGGAAAACTTGTATAGGACCACGTGTAGGGCTCGTGACCCTTAACAAATTCGGGGGAGAAAAAAAAAAGGGAAAAAGGGGGGGGGGGGTTAAGGACTCGAGTCATCATATTTGAAAAATGGTCTATCGGAAAGTGTGACTTATTACAGAAAAAGCTTTTTTTTTTTTTTTTTTTAACAACAAAAGTGAACTGTATTCGTCATAAAGAGACGGAAAAGGTGCCGGTATCCCCCACTAAGTGTCTATTACAGCAGCGGTTCTAAACTGGGTTTTGTGGCACCCAGGGATGCCGCGGTTATAATCAAGAATTGCTCAAAATATGCTTGAGATCAACGAAGACAGCAGTTTAAAACAGAAGTACCATGAAGGAAGCCAAGAAGAGTTCTGGTTGCAGGTGTGTTCTGAAAACAGTGCTATTGGCAAGGCTGCAGTGTATTTTCAACATACGCTTACATTAGGAAACATATTTTTTTTTTTTTAGTATCCAGAAGCCATGAGTTGTTAACCCTTAGGCTCGGTATTATGGATATCGCAACCCTTCGGCCTTGATTCCATGATAAATACCGTAAATCTGGGAGAAATGTGGCTTTTCTGCCTACCCCTGGGCGTGAACCCGGACCACAAGGAGTTCGTCACCCGGTCACCGCGCAATCCGGTTTAGCCACCTACGCTAGCGAGCCGGGCTAAGAAACAGACACAGGAGCCACCTTTAAGTGATTTGAGGGTAAAATTAACTGCACTTTCTATAAATATAAAGAAACTTTTGAAAAATGCATCCAAACAGTTTCACACAATCGCATTAAAGACAACTTATCATTAACTTTGCTCTGTTTTCTGTTCTTTTCCTAAGTATTAAAACTCCTTAAAGGTTAGGTGTGCCGCGAAAAGTTTTTTCCCCCTTGACAAGGGTGCCGCAGTGACAAAAACACAAGTTTGAGAAACGCTGTATTAAAAAGCACTGAAAAAATGAGACCTGAAAAAAACTGCGCACCACGAAAAACAAAAGCCGTGATTACATAGATGACAGCACTGACTACGTTTTTTTAAACTGTTCCAAATCCTAGAATGCATGGTTTTTGTCATTACCAGCTTAACCTATTCATGGTTTTATTTAGAAAATCCTATTTGTCTATGTGATAATTACCATAATTACATTGTGTGCAGCATACGGTCGCTGAAGAACAGTTCGCGTCCCTTTTTTTGTGTGTGTGGTCGAACGACCCTTTCACAGGGGTCGCCAAAGACCATCGCAAAACACATATACACTGAAGTTACGAAGTAGCAACAACAAAATACTTATGGTTGGGGGTCGCCACAACATGAAAAACCATATTAAAGGGTCGTAGCATATGAAAGGTTAAGAACCACTTTTGTAGTAAAGCTCGTCTGCTAGGGCAGAGGCCTGAAACACCGGAAACTTTTCCATACGACTAGAGCTGCTCAGACGTGCGACAAAATAAACCCATATAAATTTTTTTTTTTTTTCTCTAAGGGCGGGGAGTTTTTCACGTGGACTTGAATTTCTAGTAACTCCCCTAGGTCTTTGGGTAGGGAGATCGGACGCCCGTGTGTATTGTTGCGAACGTAGAAAAAAATCCCTTTGTAGTTGGAAATCGAAAATAGTAGCCTAACGGCGCGGCCTGGGCAAAAATTTGGAGTTAAAAATCTAACCAAAGTATTTCAGGATCCTCGCCGGTGCTACAGAGCATGCGCACTGTGATGAGCTTCTTCTGACTCAGACTTGAGTTAGAAGAAGAACAGAGCACTTATGGGTTACTACCCGTGTGCCATGATGTTGATCCGTTGTTCCAACCTCGAACCTCAAACTTGTTCTCTAAGAGCCAAAAAATATGGACAAGGACAACGGCATACGCAGCTAGGAATCTCACAAAAAGACAACACTGGATATAGCAGACAACTAGAGAGACAAATCCATAATTACACATGGCGGCATAAATCCACCACTTGAGACGGTATGCGTCATTCTTCTTTTTCTTGTTCTTTTCTTGTTTTTCCTCTGGTTCTTCTTCTTCTTCTTCTTCTTCTTCTTCTTCTTCTTCTTCTTCTTCTTCTTCTTCTTCTTCTTCTTCTTCTTCTTCTTCTTCTTCTTCTTCTTCTTCTTCTTCTTCTTCTTCTTCTTCTTCTTCTTCTTCTTCTTCTTCTTCTTATTCTTTCTTTCTTTCTTTCTTTCTTTCTTCTTCTTCTTCTTCTTCTTCCTTTCTTTCTTCTTCTTCTTCTTCTCTTCTTCTTCTTCTTCTTCTTCTTCTTCTTCTTCTTCTTCTTCTTCTTCTTCTTCTTCTTTCTTTCTTTCTTTCTTTCTTTCTTTCTTTCTTCTTCTTCTTCTTCTTCTTCTTCTTCTTCTTCTTCTTCTTCTTCTTCTTCTTCTTCCTTCTTCTTTCTTCTTCTTCTTCTTCTTCTTCTTCTTCTTCTTCTTCTTCTTCTTCTTCTTCTTCTTCTTCTTCTTCTTCTTCTTCTTCTTCTTCTTCTTCTTTTTCTTCTGCCTTTTGTCTCCCAATGGAGCAAGTCCCGTCGAGTCGTTCTACCCTTCGCTACTGAATTTAGCTCGTACCAAGCCCCCCCCCCCTCCCTGCGCCTCCTCTCATATCCTTTTAATGCCAACCACTAGCTCTTATCTTCAAGTGGTTGTGTGTGTGTGTGCGGCTGCTTTTTTTTTGTTTGTTTCTAAAGCCATGTTGGTTCCAGTGCAAAGACATTAAAGTTATACAGTTCTCAGGCCTGTGTCCTATCCAATGTCAGCGTCATTTCTTCACCTCTTGGTCCCCTGGAAGTTGTTTAGTTCTTCTTCAAGGCTCCACATTAGTGATTGTTTCATACAATTTAATACCCTTTCTTCGCGCAGACACCAGTTAATGAATGTTTATAGTTTATGAGTAATTGTTTTACCGATTCTCCATGTTCCTCTCCAAAAAGCAGAACTGATTTGACATTGGAATTAAACATGTTAAGTTAGTACACACCATTACATTGGCATTAACTTCATATGACAATATATTTATGTTGTTGCTTAGTTGCACAATTTTGCTACATATATTTTTTTTTAAGTCAGCATTTCTTTTAAACCATCAATATGCATTTTTCTAATTAGTGTGTCCTTTTGGTAAATATTAGTAAAAATTGTGTTAAGTTATTTGCAAGTATTTTTTTTTTCTTCTGATAGTCCGTGCTATGTGAGACTGGTCATCATTTTTGTCCACAACCTTTTGTCTCGTGATTTGTCAGACTTTTCTGATAACATTCTGTGCTGATACCATGATGCCAAACTAGACAAAACATTCTTTTGCCCCCCCCCCCTTTTTTTTTTCTCTTTTTTTTTCTTCTGTACTATTCTCTCTCTCTCTCTTCGTCTGCTTCTTCTTCTTTTTCTTCTTCTTCTTCTTCTTCTTCTTCTTCTTCTTCTTCTTCTTCTTCTTCTTCTTCTTCTTCTTCTTCTTCTTCTTCTTCTTCTTCTTCTTCTTCTTCTTCTTCTTCTTCTTCTTCTTCTTCTTTTTCTTCTTCTTCTTTGCGATCACCAGCTGTAAACTCTGGCGGAAAGTTCTGGTTGTTCATCCACTTCTGGACATCAGTCCTGTTCCAGAA